AGATACTCCCAGGAACACCTCAGCAAGCAAGAGTCCAAAAGTGGCAGGCAAAAACCCAGCACCTCAATCAGTGGCTGAGAACAAATGAGAGATTCCTTCCTGGGCACACAGAAGGTTGGGTGACTTGGAAGGTGCTGAACAAACTGCACTCTGGCACCACAAGATGCAGAGCCAACCTTAAGAAATGGGGCCACAAAGTGAAGTCCGCGACATGCGAGTGTGGAGAAGAGCAAACCACAGACCACTTACTACAATGCAACCTGAGCCTTGCCACATGCACAATGGGGGATTTTCTCACAGTGACACCAGAGGCACTCCAAGTGGCCAACTTCTGGTCAAAGGAAATCTAGTATAATTGCAAGTTTAAACTTTTTTGTGGTTTTTGTATACATTATAGCTGTATTCTCAATTCGTTTCTGACACGATAAATAAATAGCATCTTAAGTTTGCGGTTTCAGCCTATAATCATAAAATATTAGAAACCAGATTCTTTCATGTTTTGGGATTTATTTTGTTGTAACAAATTAGTACAGGGAGAAAAATAAATAAATTTTGTGGAGAAAACTGTGTTTTGCACAAAATGGTGTTTTGCACAAAACTGTGTTTTGCACAGAAATACTTCTTTTTATGCACAAATTTCTCAGCTAAAAGTCCCAAAATGTGAGAAAAAAAACATTTTAAAATATACATAGACGTTTGAAATCTCACCCAGTTGTGTTAAGGGTTATCATTCCCACGCGCTACAATATTTAATCCACATGTTATCATTGTCCTTCAGATCAAACCCAAATCTACCCTCTTGTCCCAATTCCTTGGAAATAAACACCACTTACTTGAATCTACTTCTAAGTACAACATCATAGGACCACACAAGAAAAGAACATTAGGTAGTTATGAATACTTTTTGGAAACATTTCAGAGATACACTGGCCCTGAATATTGAATGAATCCCAGTTTATTCATATCTATTTCAATCTTCCAGACACAGGTTTTGAGTTTGACCCAATTTTATTGTTGGTGATGTTCAAGGGGCTCTTTGATCATAGGTGAACTATAAATCCCAGCAAGTACAACTCCCAAATGTCAAGTCTATTTTCCCCCAAACTCCACTAGTGTTCACATTTGGGCATATTGAGTATCCGTGCCAAGTTTGGTCCAGATCTATCATTGTTTGAGTCCACAGTGCTCTCTGGATGTAGGTGAACTACAACTCCAAAACTCAAGGTCAACACCCAACAAACCCTTCCAGTATTTTCTGTTTTTGCAAACGTGGCTGGTGGGGACGAGGGAGAGGGCCTTCTCGGTGACGACCCCCCGCCTCCCCAGCGAAATTAGATCAGCGTCCTCCCTCCTTTCTTTCAGAAGAAAATTGAAGATGTGGTTGTGGAACCAGGCTTTTGGCTAATGGTTATAACGGCACCTGAACAGTGAATTGCACCAGATTGTTGTTATAATGGAAATGCCTTTATGATTGGATAACTAATGTTGTTTTAATGTATTATATTGTATGATATTATTTTGCTTTTATAATTGTAATTATTGCGGCATTCAATCGTTGCCATGGGAGTCCTGTGTGCAAAGTCTGGTCCAATTCCATTGTTGGTGGATATCAGAATGCTCTTTGATTGTAAGGCAAAGGTAAAGGTAGTCCCCTGACATTAAGTGCAGTCATGTCTGACTCTGGGGTGTGGTACTCATCTCCATTTCTAAGCCAAAGAGCCAGCGTTGTCCGTAGACACCTCCAAGGTCATGTGGCCATAGGCATGACTGCATGGAGCGCCGTTACCTTCCCGCCGGAGCGGTACCTATTGATCTACTCACATTTGCATGTTTTCGAACTGCTAGGTTGGTAGAAGCTAGGGCTGACAGCAGAAGCTCACGCCGCTCCCCGGAATCGAACCTGCGACCTTTCGATCAACAAGCTCGGCAGCTCAGTGCTTTAACCCACTGCACCACCGGGGGCTCCTTCTTTGATCGTAGGTGAACTATAAATCCCAGTAATTACAACTCCCAAATGACAAAACCAATCCCTCCCTCCCCCCAACCCACCAGCATTCAAATTTGGGTGTATGTGTATTTGTGCCAAATTTGGTCCAGTGAAGGAAAATACATCCTGCATATCAGATATTTACATTACGATTCCTAACAGGAGCAAAATTGCAGTTATGAAGTAGCAACGAAAATAATGTTATGGTTGGGGGTCACCACAACATGAGGAACTGTATGAAGGGGTCGTGGCATTGGGAAGGTAGAGAAACACTGCGTTATATGAAGGAAAATATGGAAACAAGAACTTTGAGTTAAAAATAATTGAAAAATTTCTGGAACTAGAGTTCCAAACACATCCAATCCATGCTGCAATGTCTTTCTTGCATCACAATCTTATGGCTATCAGTCTCATTATTCCTTTATTTACTCAGCTCAGAGTAAATAAACTTGCACCCTGATCCTGAAAGCATCCCATTCATTTCCAAGAATGTTTGCTTCTATATAATCCTGCAGTCTTATGCATTGAGAAAGAACGCATCAGAGATTCCAGAACTTTGACCTGTAGTGTTTCAGATTGCAGGCTTCCTAGCCAACCTAAAGTATGCAATTATAACCGAATTCAATAGGACTTGCTCTTAAGTAAATATGTATAACTGCATATAGGGCTGCAGCCTTAGGCTCTTGTTCCAAGGCATGCTTTTGGAAATAAACCTTTGAGAATCTTTTTGCTGTTTTTTTCCCATGCACTTCAAGGTTAATTATATCTCTCAAGGAGTAAACAGTCGAAGCAAGAATGCCAAGAGGCTGCATCTGTGTAGGTCTATGTGCGCATGCAAATACACATGCAGTGTCCACACAAGTAGGAACACACACGTATGTGTGACTCCTCTTCCGCCCCCGAATCAAACTTATGGACAAAGTCACACCGAAGGGAGAATTCTTAGCCGGATCATTTATCTGAAGGACAACATAACATGCTCTGCAGAGCTATAGAAATGCATTGACGGAATCAGGCAAAGTGTGAAAGACTTCATTTCTTTGGGGGATGCATGCCACAAACAGGAAATGCCAGGCACAAAACAGATCCAGATTTTCCGTCGCCAAACTCATGTTCGTTTGAGAAGGAAAATTCATTAACTTTACATCAAAAGCTCCAGCAATTTTGTACATATTTCTGAAGGTCCGAACTGAATGTTCTGCAGTTCCAAGTCGGAGCGAGAACATGTTTCAGCAAACGACAATTTATGTTTAATTGAAGAGCACCTTGAGCCAAAAGCTACCTTTTACGCTGCTCTGTGAGCACAACTTCTCAATCCTACAAAATGCTGTAATCTCATGTGTAATTGGTGCTGCTAGAAATACTCCAAATGTCTCTATTTACAAGACTTTCCTTTGCTGGGTTGTTGTAGGTTTTTCAGGCTGTATGGCCATGTTCTAGAAGCATTCTCTCCTGATGTTTCGCCTGCATCTGTGGCAAGCATCCTCAGAGGTTGTGAGGTTTGTTGGAAACTGCCCTTCCTCTGTGTGTAATTGTAATGCTTCTTGGGACTGTGATCCGTCCTCGCTAGTCTAGCATTGTGCAAAGTAATGATTATATAGTACTGGTAGTGACATCAATAAATACATAAGTAAGAACTACTACAACACTCCAAAAGAATGTGCAAAATGCTCACCTTTGCCCTTCCTCTGTGTATAATTGTTATGTTTCTTGGGAATGCTATTTGTCCTCTTAAGTCTAGCATTGTGCAAAGTAATGATTATATAGTACTGGTAATTGGAGCCCCCGGTAGCGCAGTGGGTTAAACCACTGAGCTGCTGAACTTGCTGATTGAAAGGTCACAGGTTCGAATCCGGGGAGTGGGGTGAGCTCCCACTCTCAGCCCCAGCTTCTGCCAACCCAGCAGTTCGAAAACATGGAAATGTGAGTAGATCAATAGGTAAAATTCCAGTGGGAAGGTAAAGCCACTCCATGCAGTCATACTGGCCACATGACCTTGGAGGCGTCTACGGACAATGCTGGCTCTTCGGCTTGGAAATGGAGATGAGCACCACACCCCAGAGTCTGATACGACTAGACTTTATGTCAGGGGAAAACCCTTACATTTACCTTTATTGGTTTTTATTTATTTGTGTGGTTTTTATATTTATGCTAAATGTTTTAACTGGATTTTGTGTTGTTGGGGGCATTGAATTGTGCCATTTGTAAACTGCCCTGAGTCGCCTTCAGGCTGAGAAAGGCAGTATATAAATATGGTAAATAAATAATAATAAATAAATATCTTTACTTATGACGTCAATAAATGCATAAGTGGGAACTACTACAAGACCCCAAAAGAATATGTAAAATGCTCACCTTTGTCCTTCCTATGTGTATAATTGTAATGTTTCTTGGGATTGTGATCTGTCCTCTCAAGTCTAGCATTGTGCAAAGTAAAATTATATAGTACTGGTAGTGACGTCAATAAATACATAAGTAAGAACTACTACAACACCCCAAAACGTATATGCAAAATGCTCACCTTTGCCCTTCCTCTATGTATAATTGTAATGTTTCTTGAGACTGCAATCTGTCCTCTCAAGTCTAGCATTGTGCAAAGTAATTATTATATATAGTACTGATAATGACGTTAATAAATAAATACGTTAATAAATAAACACCCCAAAAGAATACGCAAAATGCTCACCTTTGCCCTTCCTCTATGTATAATTGTAATGTTTCTGGAGACCGTGATCTGTCCTTTCAAGTCTAGCATTGTGCGAAGTAATGATTATATATAGTACTGATAATGACGTTAATAAATAAATACATTAATAAATAAACACCCCAAAATAATATGCAAAATGCTCACATTTTCCCTTCCTCTGTGTATAATTGTCATGTTTCTGGGGACCGTGATCTGTCCTTTCAAGTCTAGCATTGTGCAAAGTAATGATTACATAGTAGTGACGTCAATAAATACATAAGTAAGAACTACTACAACATCTCAAAAGAATATGTAAAATATGCTCACCTCTCAACTGCCTCCTCGCTGTTCTCTTCTGTGATGATTTGTGTTTCCTGTGTGTTCTTGTTGGGATCCTCTTTCTCATAGTTCTCCTTGGGACCAGCCTTGGGCATCTCCTCTGTCCCCTGAAGGTGCTCGATGAGGTCCTCTTGCCAGGTCTGGATGGGGCGGTGGGGCACCGGGGTCGGTCCGCTGGGCACGGGCGCCAAGATGTTGTGGTGGATGGGGCTGTTGTTCTTCTTGAGCCCATTTCTGTCCCGCGAGTGGCTTTTCAGCCTGCCCTGCACCGGGGCCCCTCGATGCTCATATCCTTCCTGCTGGAGGCAACCTCCGGTGCCGGTGGAACTCTGCGAGGGGTGGCTGAACCATCTCCAGCGCAGCCTCAGGATCTGCTTCACATCGAATTCCTTCTTCCCAGAGACTGACATCTTTGCAAAAGCAGCAAGAACCACAAAACAAAATCCAGTTGTTCTATCCAACCAAACAAGCCCTTGTTCTCCTTGCTGCTTGTCAGTGTCTCCTCTCCATCCTTCCTTCCTGGGAGCCTTGTCTCTCTTTGCTTTTCCTGGCACACACCTGCACGCCCTCAGTTGCGATCTTCTGAAGAGTCTAGGTGGGAGCCCATCCCGGCAAAATGATGAGGTCAGATCTTGAACAAGTAAATCAGCTTAGCTCAGGCGAGCATCTGCTATTACACTCCGCAGCTGCGAGACTGAAATACACAGGCACACGCACACGGAGCAGCCAAGAGCTGCGCTCTCCAATATATAACCAACCTAGCCGGCTATCATCCTAAGGGATCTTACCCTGCAACTTTAGCTGCATATTAAGGATAAGAAGTGGCTCATACTTCATTCCTTGTCTTCCCCACCCCCCCCCCCAAAAAAGACTTTTAGGAATGCACCTGGATGAGAAAGATGACCAAGACCACCTCTTTTAGGGTTATGGGCCCAGGTGGGCTTCCCTGGAAGTAAGACCCTTGGATCAATTCAGGCAGCATTGTGCTCAGAAGCAAGGGCGAGGTTTGTTTTTCCTGGCAGTGGGAATAGAGACAGGAAGCAAGATTTTGCAGAAGGGGGTTCAAAGGGGAAAGGGTTCCCGTGGCTTTCTAGGACCTGATTCCATGCAGACCCTGTTTCTCCTCCTTTCTCCCTCCTCTCTTGCCCCAGCAGTTCAATTTCTCCCCAAGGACCTTTCATGGATTCTGGTAACTTCTTTGCAAAATGGGAACTAACTGGAAATGGCTGTCCTTAAGCATCATGTCATTTCGCCTTAAATAAAAAGAGACAGGCTTTAAAATCCGTTGCTGGGTTTTGACTAGAGTCTCTTTCTCTCTTTTTTTTTTCTTCCTCCTTTCCTCCTCCTTCTCACCATTTCTACAAGTAAGATTTTGCAGGCTTTGCCTTCATTATATGAAGGGATGTGAGGAAAGCTTGGAGGGGAGAAAAAATATCAAACGATGCCCTTCCTAAAGGAGCATATCTACAGAAAACACAACACTGTTTTCTGGCGAAGTGCCTGTGTAAATATCCTCGTGCCATCAAGCTCATTCCTCTCCCGCCTGCTCTCTCATTCTCTCTCACACACACACATTCAGGCACCACACATAAAGCAAGGGTGACAATGACAACTCTTTTTTCATGTCAGAGCTTCTTCCCTCAAGCAAGAATCCTAAACCAGGCGATTAGAAGGACTGCTTCTCTCTTTATGATGGGCTGAACCTGGGGTGGGGAAGGTGTAAGCTGCAGTTTGGATGCACACTCGGACATATCTTTTGCAGCCCTCAAAGCCCTCCGATTATAAATTGCACACCCAAAGCACATCAAAAGACTCAAATGCAAAGAAATCCACGCTGAACTTTTTGATTGTAGGTGAACTATAAATCCCATCAACTAAAACTCCCAAATGACAAAATCTCTCTCTCCCCCCCACCAGTATTCAAATTTGGGCCTATCGGGCATTTGTGCCAAATTTGGTTCAATGAATGAAAATACAACCTGCATGTCAGATTGATTCATAACAGGAGCAACATTACAATTATGAAGTAGCAATGAAAATCATTTTATGGTTMGGGGTCACCACAACYTGAGGAACTGTATTAAGGGGTCGCAGTATTAGGAAGGTTGAGAACCACCGTTCTAGAAGCATTCTCTCCTGACATTTCACCTGCATCTGTGGCAAGCATCCTCAGAGGTTGTGAGGTTTGTTGGAAACTAGGAAAATTGGGTTTATATATCTGTGGAATAATGTCCAGGGTGGGAGAAAGAACTCTTGTCTGTTTGAGGCAGGTGTGAATGTTTCAATTGGCCACCTTGATTAGCATTTGATGGCCTGACAGTTTTTAGGTGTGGCTTGTTACTGCCTGGGAAATTCCTTTGTTGAAAGGTGATTAGGTGTTCCTGATTGTTTCTTGTCTGGAGTTCCCCTGTGTTTGAGTTTTGTTTTTTCATTTACTGATATAATTTTTTTAGTACRGATAGCCAGATTTTGTTCATTTTCATGGTTTCTTCCTTTCTGTTGAAATTGTCTCAATGCTTGTGGATTTCAATGGCTTCTCTGTGTAGCCTGGCATGGTAGTTGTGAGAGAGGTCCAGCATTTCTGTGTTCTCAAATAATATGCTGTGTCGAGGTTGGTTCCTCAGGTGGCCAATTGAAACATTCACACCTAGCTCCAACAGACAAGAGTTCTTTCTCCCACCCTGGACATTATTCCACAGATATTTAAACCCAATTTTCCTAGTTTCCAATGGACCTCACAACCTCTGAGGATGCTTGCTACAGATGCAGGTGAAATGTCAGGAAAGAATGCTTCTAGAACATGGCCAGACAGCCCGTAAAACCGACAACAATCCAGTGATTCTGCTCATGAAAGCCTTCAACAATACCAATCTGAACTTCCCAATATTTTTTCATTGTTCCTATAAAATGGTGTCCAGAAATTGCATAGTATCCTTTCTGGTTGACATTTATAGAGGAAATAAGAGGGAGGAGAAGGTATTTAGGTGTGTCCCAAAGGCAATGTCGCTAGTGGAGGCTCAGGAGGAAAATCCAACAATGTCTAGTCCCAGCTACCCATTGAGTCAGCTGAAACTTCAGCATTTTGAGAAATCCGATTCATTCAGTGGGTGTATTCTTGTAGGGAGCAACTGGATTTAGGTCAAAGATATCAGGAGAGGCCCTTTTCTCAGTGTGGGTCAAGAGAAAGCTTTATCAATGGCCGCTTCTAGCCTCTGGAAAACTAACACCAGTCTGTCTTCTGTGGCTGTGGGTGACATATTGAGCCACTGAAGTTGCTGACCTGAAGGTTGGCAGTTTGAATCCATGGGACAGGGTGAGCTCCCACGGTTAGCCCCAGCTCCTGCCAACCTAGCAGTTGGGAAACATGCAAATGTGAGTAGGCTGGAAGGCAAACAGTTGTGCCAGCCACACAACCAGAGGTGTCCACGGACTACAGGTTGGGAACCACTGATTTAGCTGATACTAACAGGAGCGGAGCGCAGGGAGCATACAACTCCCTTGCTGCACCAGCTCCACTGGCTGCCGATTTGCTACCGGGCTCAATTCAAAGTGCTGGCGTTGGCCTATAAAGCCCTAAACGGTTCTGGCCCAAGCTACCTATCCAAACGTATCTCTGCCTATGAACCCACCAGGACTCTAAGATCTTCTGGGGAGGCCCTGCTCTCGATCCCGCCTGCATCGCAAGCACGGCTGGCGGGGACGAGGGACAGGGCCTTCTCTGTGGTGGCCCCTTGGCTGTGGAACGCCCTTCCCATGGACATTAGATCAGCCCCTTCGTTAATCGTGTTTCGAAGAAAACTAAAAACCTGGCTGTTTGAACAGGCGTTCAGATAAATAGTGCAATTGAACGATGAATATAGGAACGGATTTATGGATGACGAATTGGATCACGATTTTAGTTACGAGATGCTAATGTGTCGTTATTGATGTGTCATTATTCGTATACTAGGCTGTTAATGGTTTTAAATATTGTATGTTGTACGATTGACTTTTTTGCTCTTGTTGTGAACCGCGTTGAGTCACCTACGGGCTGAGAAACTGCGGTATACAAGCAAAGTAAATAAATAAATAAATAAATAAATAAATAAATAAACAGCAACATGAGTGAGCCCCATACAATTAGACTTTGCTTATAAAGTAGCGTTTCACTTATCAAACACACTGGGATTGTGGTGCAGCTGGTTGAGTGTCAGCTGCATTAAGATCACTTCTGACCAAAAGGTCATGAGTTCAAAGCTAGCCTGGGTCAGAGTGAGCTTCCGGCCAATTGTGTAGCTTGTTGTCGACCTTTGCAACCCGAAAGACAGTTGCATCTGTCAAGTAGGAAAATTAGGTACCACCTATGTGCGGGGAGGCTAATTTAACTAATTTATGAGGCCATAAAAAAAACGCCAGCAAAGCACTCCAGCAAAAGCATGCGGGGGAATGCGAAAGTACTTCATCAGTGTCGCAGGTGGACGATGAAAGCGAAAGCTCCCCTGGCAACCAGAAAAAGTTAAATAGCCTCTGACTGTCTGTCTATATCTGTTGTGTGTCTTTGGCATTGAATGTTTGGCACATATGTGTACATTGTAATCCACCCTGAGTCTCCTGCAGGGTTAGAAGGGCGGAATATAAATACTGCAAATAAATAAATAAATAAATAAACGAGGCGGCAAAATGTTGGATAAGCGAAAATGTTGGATAATAAGGAGGGATGAAGGAAAAGTCTATTAAACATCAAATTATGTTATGATTTTACAAATTAAGCATCAAAACATCATGTTTTACAACAAATCGACAGAAACAAATAACAAATAGCAAATAAAAAAATGGCATGATAATGTTATGTAGTAATTACTGTATTTACAGAATTAGCACCAAGACATCACAATGTATTGAAACCATTGTGGATCCGTGCGGGAGGCAGATTGCGTTGAATAATACAGAATGTTGGATGAGTGAAGGTTGGATAAGCGAGACTCTACTGGATATGCATAACATTGTGTTGTTGACCTCTAACTCTCCCTTCCCCCCATAAAAAGTGTAAATACTGCATTTTTAGTCCTTATCACAAATAACATAGTATAGTATTTTTGCAGGATGGGTTTACTTATTTGTCTCCGCCGTTGAAAAAGAAATGACAGAACAATCTGTGAGCAAAACAGTTTCAAAATGAGGACTATAATTTCAAGCTTGCCTTCACACCTTCCACAGCAGTCACATAACTAATATTTTCTTCATGTCTGGCATTATATTTTTTTACACCCAAAAAAAAAAGGAAAAGGAAGAAATTGAGCCTATGAGGCGATATGACATTCAGGGCTTGAGCTGTTATGATATCCATAATTCCTTGCATTAGGATTTCTTTCCGGTTCTATGCACTTAAGCTGTGTTTGTAACATGTACCGGTCAGCAGATTTTACTTTTAACATAGTCTACCACAAACAAGAGAAACTATAGTTTAGCAGATTTAAATGGATCCTGGTGGGGTAGCAACAGTATATTACCTGCACCTGGCTTAAGTATAAGGTTGTGTGGAGGTGTTCCTGTTTTGGAGCACGCTCAGCATGCTTTCCGTCAACTCAGCACTGTTCCGAACTGGTGAAAAGTATGTCATCTGGGTATTAACAATGTATTTTGCAAAAAAATAATAAAAAGGACTGTGACTAAAGAGGCTGCCTATTTAGGGGTGTCACTCAGCATACCTCATGACATCTATTCATTCAGTCCTATATACTGCTCAAATCAAGCAATGGCAATCAGCTTCCATTGTGAAGGTGTGGGACTATGTTTCCTCCATCAGACTTGGGTTGCACTACTCTTTGGAACCACCGGTGGCGCAGTGAGTTAAACCACTGAGCTG